CGTATACGTTTCCGTCCATTTCCTACAATTTACATGCTATTAGGGCAGTGCACAATAAAAACCAACTGAATTGTTGGTAACGTGAGGAAACGGAAAAACACACAAGTGATGAGTAGAATTTTAAGAGATTCCGACAAAGTGAAAAAAAAAAGAAATCAAAAGACTGACCAACCTTTCATTATCATCTTTGGACTGTAAAACAGCGACAAGCGAGCCAAGCTCTTGAAATGCCTCACCAGCTTTCATAAAGATTTCGGATACCTGAAAATCCACGAAATTATAAACAACTACCCCCTCTCACTATTCCTGTTTCTAACGAGAAAACTACAAGCAAGCAGTTCCTTCACAGGACGAACTGAATACCAGGACGGCCATGTGAAAGTTTTGAGGGGAGAAACTACTATCACGAAAGCTACGGAGCTGGAGAACCACGAAAGCTAGGAAGCTGAAACTTTATAGAAATGTCCACTGCCTGCGTGCAACCCTGCAAATTCAAATTCAGCTTTCAGGTACCTCGACGTCACATGAAGAGGGGCACGCGAAAATTTCGACGGAAAAACCACTAACACGGGGAACAAAAAAGTTAGGAAGCTCCAGTTTGAGGATGCTCTACATTCATATTTAACGCAAATTTTTCGAAGTCAGCTCTCCAGTACACATAACTCCCACGTACGGTCACGTGAAAGCCCAGGCGGGAAAATTTTGCCAAGTCGGGGATCAGAAGAGCTAGGAGGCTGGTTTTTAGGAGAATGTTTTCTGCCTATGCAGGACCTCCAAAATTCGAATTTAGTCCCCATTTAAACTTGAGTTCCACGTACGACCACGCAATTTTTGACGCAAGTGTCACTGATTCGGACGCCAGAAAACTTGAAAGGATGTTCCCCGTGCATTTGTAATCCAAAGGTTCCAAATTCAACTTTCAGGTGCGGTTACGTTTCAGGTGCCAGTACGCGGGTTTTTTTGTGGGAAACTTTGCAATCTAGGAACCAGACAACACACCAATTACTTTTGCATAAATCAAAGTGTAAAACAGTGAAAATTCTTAGCTCGTGAATCAACCTGTGCAAAGTGATCGCACTGACTATTCTGGTGTACGCCACTATTTATGCTTTCTATTGGATTATTCCTGTGACTAATTCAACCATAATTATTTCGCGCAATCAAAATAGCCTGAGAAACAGTAGAAAAAAAAAACCTTCTGAGCCATGTCAGGGTGGCCAGGTTGCTGCGCCGAACTGGTTGCTGCCGAACTTGTCGATGGCCAGGCACTTGTCCCAGTGTTCATGCTCCCTTTTTGAATTCGCAATTTTCTGCTTGTCTGAAAAAAAAAAAGAATTCGAAAATCCAAACCATAGTTTAACAAACAACCAAAGTATC